ATGCAGGCCACATGACCACGGAAAACGTCTTCAGACAGCGCTGGCTCTTCGGCTTTGAAACGGAGATGAGCACCGCAACCCTAGAGTCGGACTCGACTGGCTTTCGAGCAAGGGAACCTTTACCTTACAGGTAGTTAGGTTCTTGCCCCGACCTGGATGGGCCGGGCTAGCCCTATTTAATCAGATCTCAGAAGCTAAGCAGGGTCAGCCCGGGTTAGTTCTTGGATGGAAGACCACCAGGGAAGTCCAGGGTTGGTGTGCAGAGGCAGGCAATGGTCAAAACCACCCCTGAACATATCTTGCCTTGAAAACCACTACAGGATCCCACATATTGGCTGGGATATGAAGGCACTTTACGCACAGTTAGGATCCTAGAGGAAATTGCTTGGTCATTTGCAATGCTCCCTCTAAGCTGTGGCATCTTGTGAGCCAAAATCCTACTTTGTGAGCTATCGGCATTAAAGTTGTGAGCGAGCAATTTGGCTGCTGCATAAGTTAGTTTGCTCTGGAGCCACATCCTTCCTGAGCGAAGGCAAAAAAATGTGTGAGCCGGAGGCTAAAAAGCTTTGAGCTAGGTCACACTAACTCAGCTTAGAGGGAACACTGGTCATTTGTATGGCTTGTTTTTGTTATTAGTGTGATTGCGTAAGCTGCCTTGTGCATTCTTTTTTAGCCAAACAGCCGGATGTAGAAATAAAGTGGACGAAGAATTCCTTCAATGGAGAATGCAGCCCTATACCCAGAAAAGAAGCTGTAACAGGGTGGTGAGATTCCTACAAAAACTGCTTTCTGTCAGCGAAACCACTCACCAGGAACTTACAAACGTTCTCTGAAAACTTTTAATTCACCGAAAAACAAAATCAAGCCTGGATAAACTGTGCAGCTGTAGCGCAAGCACACACACCTTGAAGCATGAAGGGTTCCTGTTAGGTTACTTTCAAGGAAATAGACATATAATCACTATTCCCACCCACCCCTGACCTTATCTTGAGTCATAAACACCAACAACATTTCCTGAGCAGTTGTGCACTTTTACTTGGGTTTGGAAATGCCGCGGCTTTCAACAAGGAAGATGCACAAGAGGCTGCCCATATTTGGATGGTCCTCCTGGTTAAGAATCAGTGCAAGCAGGGCTATTTTTGGGCAGGAACTCACAGGAACAGAGTTCCGGCTGGCTCCCAAGTTGGCCACGCCCAGCAGGAACTCATTAGCATAATAGGCCACACCCAACAGCAGAAACTCATTAGGATTGGCTACATTAGGCGTGTGTGGCCTAACATGCAAAGGAGTTCCTGCTACAAAAAAGCCCTGGGTTTTGACAACAAACAAGGTCAACAGAATAAGAAGCAAAAGGTGGGTGTGGCTGGATAACCACACTTCTGGTAACATGGGGGTGCGGCCTAATGTGCTAATGAGCTGTGCTGTCAGGGGTGTGGCCCAATATGCTAATGAGTTCCTGCTGTTGGGTGTGGCCTATTATGCTAATGAGTTCCTGCTGGGCTTTTTCTACAAAAAGAGCCTTGAGTGCAAGATGTAACAATGCATTCTTTATTGATAAAACAGATGAAGGCCAGATAAACCACCTGCTAGTAAGTGAGAGGTCAATTATGTCCTACAACGTACAAAGGAGACTGAGAACACATTCACGCAAGACGCTTAAGGTTTCTTGGAGTTAGCTGTGCTTGCGTGGATGCCGTTAATCTGAGATAAGACTCAGAAGAAGAGGAGGAGATTGAATTTATACCCCGCCCTTCACTCAGAGTCTCAGAGCGGCTTTCAATCTCCTTTCCCTTCCTCTCCCCACAACAGGCACCCTGTGAGGTACGTGGGGCTGAGAGAGCTCTCTCGAGAACTGCCCTTGAGAGAACAGCTCTGACAGAACTATGGCTTGCCCAAGGTCATCCAGCAGCTGCAAGTGGACGAGTGGAGAATCAAACCCGGTTCTCCCAGATTAGAGTCCGCACACTTAACCACTACACCAAAGTGGAAATCAAATGTTTGCTGTAGCCAGTTCACGGTCGTGTCTCACATTGGTTCAAGCAAACAGCTATCTACTTACATTGTGTGCGTGTAAAACACCCTTAAGGCCTCGAAGTGAGCTGATTGGACTTGCTTCTGAGTGGACATGTTTAGGACTGCACTGGAAGCCACTTTTACAAGACAGACTTAAAACAGGGTTTTGGCACTGACCCGGATAGCCCAAGGCAAGCTCTCAGAACCTAAGCAGGGCTTACCCTGGCAAGTATTTGGACGGGAGACCTCCAAAGAATACCAGGGTCGGGATCAATGTTCCCTCTAAGCTGAGTTGGTGTGAGCTGGCTCACAGTTTTTTCACCTCTGGCTCGCACATTTTTGCCTTCGCTCAGGAAGGATGGCTCCGGAGTAAGCTAATTCACGCGGCAACCAAATCGCTCGCTCACCACTTTCAGGCCAGTGGCTCACAAAGTAGAATTTTGGCTCACAAGACTCCACCGCTTAGAGGGAGCATTGGTCGGAATGTATGTGATCTCACTTGTTGTATCTAACAACTCATGCTATTTGAGAAACCTGATGAATTCATACTTCCCCCCCACCCCCTTTTCCCTTCTGTATCCCACCTTTCTTCTGAGAAAATTTTTAAAAAATACTAGGCTCAGGAGGCAGAAGCAGGCTATCAGGCCATTTCTCTGAACATCTCGATGCCCCAGTAGCAGTCACCAGAGGTTGACATGACTTCCAGACATGGGCGCACAGTGTGCCCATAGCTAACGTGGGGCCCACGGGGACAGCCTGGCCCCCTAGTGTTAATTCTGGGGGCCCCTCCCTCCTGGGCTGCCCCCAAAGCGCTCCAACTTGCCACCTGCACTGTACTTTCATTTGATTAGCTGTCGGGCCCCCTGAGGCCCCCTCCCCAAAATTCCCTAGCTACGGGGCTGGCGCACAGACAAACAAATGCAAAAAATTACACACACACACCCCACAACCTGGGTTTTACATTTTCTTTACGGGTGGCACCATGCCTCAGTGGCAGAGTATCAGCTTGACATACAGAAGGTCCTGCGTTCAGTCCCCACCACCTCTGGCTTAAAGGATCAGGTAGCAGGGGGATGGGAAAGACCGCTGCCTGAGACCCTGGAGAGTGGTCTCCAGTCTGACTGCACAAGACTGACCTTGAGGGACCAGTGGTCCGATTCACTATAAAGCAGCTTCATTTGTGTTAAGAACATAAGAACATAAGAGATGCCAATGTTGGATCAGGCCAAAGGCCCATCCAGTCCAACACTCTGTATCACACAGTGGCCAGAAATACCAGTGCCATCAGGAGGTCCACCAGTGGGGCCAGGACATTAGAAGCCCTCCCACTGTTGACCCCCCCAAGCACCAAGATGACAGAGCATCACTTGCCCCAGAGTCCCTATCTATACCTTGTGGCTAATAGCCACTGATGGACCTCTGCTCCATATGCTGAGAGGCAGGGAGGAAGCAACTTGCCCTCCCTCTTCTCCTGCCTCCTCCTGGCTGAATGAGGGCTGGAAGCGGGGAGGCCGGAAGCAGGGGGCGGGTCTTCATCATGTGCCCCGCCCCCCGGACCTCACCCGGGGGAACTGTGTTTCCCCGCGTTCCCCCCCGAAATGACCTCTGTTAGAAGCCCTCCCACTGTTGACCCCCCCAAGCACCAACTATACTGCAGAGGTGCTGTGGCTCAGAGTTGCTTTGCATGCAGAAGGTCCCAGGTTCAATTCCCAGCATCTCGTTAAAGCTATCAGGTGATAGTTGATGTAAAAGGCAGTCTGAGACCCAGGATAGCTGCTGTGGGTCTGAGTAGACAATAATGACAATAATGACCCTGACGGACCAATGTTCTGATTCAGTAAAAGGCAGCTTCATGTGTACTACTGACCTTGTGCTGACCTGTACTATGCATGTTCCAACATTAAGGTAAAGGTAAAGGTTCCCTTGTTCGAAAGCCAGTCGAGTCCGACTCTAGGGTTGCGGTGCTCATCTCCGTTTCCAAGCCGAAGAGCCAGCGCTGTCCGAAGACGTTTCCGTGGTCATGTGGCCGGCATGACTAAACACCAAGGCGCACGGAACGCTGTGACCTTCCCACCAAAGTGGTCCCTTTTTATCTACTTGCAATGTCTTGCTTTCAAACTGCTAGGTTGGCAGGAGCTGGAACTAGAGACGGGAGCTCACTCCGTCATGTGGCAACTCGGGTCTTGAACTGCTGAACTACTGACCTTCCACAGCCTGCAGTTCAGCGTCTTAACCACTTGAGCCACCGCAGCATTACCAGTCTCAGAAATACCTCCCGCCCCTATTTTCTAGTTTGGGGTTATAATCCAATAGGAAGTTCGATTTCCTGGCATCAGCAGGCTTAAGCGTGCATGATTCTGTGTACTATTGTGGTCTCGGCCTGGCTTTACTCCCAGAAATTGCATTTCTCTAAAAGAATGCGTTTTTGAGAGTCTATGCACATTGCTTAAAGGCCGTGCCTGTTCGCCAGTACAGAAAAACGTGCATCCGTTAGATCACTCAATACCACCACATTCTAAGGATTGTCACTGGAAATAGCCATTGCCCATGTCGGAGGTCCTATCAGCACATTCACTAGTTTGTTTGTTTTTTAAACCCTAAGGACTAAAGCCCTCCCGGTCTCTTGTGAAGGCTCGACCGAGGTAGTCCCCACCTTTTCAACGTGCAAGTGGACACCTGCCCTCCTGGAATCAGGCCCACGGCTAGTCCAGCTTCCCTGCTTGACTTGGCCTCGAAGGAGACAGTTCCAGCTGACCACATGGACTGCAACATCCACTGGAAATAGCCATTGCCCATGTCGGAGGCCCTATCAGCACATTCACTTGTTTGTTTGTTTTTAACCCTAAGGACTAAAGCCCTCCAGGTCTCTCGTGAAGGCTCGACCGAGGTAGTCCCCATCTTTTCAACCTGCAAGTGGACACCTGCCCTCCTGGAATCAGGCCCATGGCTAGTCCAGCTTCCCTGCTTGACTTGAAGGAGACTGTTCCAGTTGACCACATGGACTGCAACATCAGAGTCACTGGAAGTCACACGATCGCTTTGCAGATCTGTGGCAGAGCCGGGAGGAAACCCCCAGAGAGAGGGCGGCTCTAACTATTCGACCTGCCGATTGCGACAGCGCCTCCCGAAGCAGCTAACCTACTTAATTCTCCAGCAGAGATCAAAACAACAAAGCTGCTCCTCCCAGAGAGGAACCATGCAGAGTCCCGTCTAACGGCACGGTTATCTGTTCGTCCAGCGACTGCTGGTGCCGCTAGCATAGGCGTTGTGTGAGAGAGGCCTGGTGGGGCCCGGAGCATTGGTCCAGTTAGTCTCCCTGTGTCCGATTTGCTGCTCTCTTGTTTTCTCTTCGTGCTGGGAGAGTAAACGCTGCAGCTCCCCTTGGTCATCAAACGGGTTCTTGCCATATTCCTGCCGGATCCAGGCTCGGTACTGCCAAAGAAAAGACCAGAGGAGCGGTGAATGGGAGATGTCAAAGATACAACGCGTACCAAGCAGGGCAGTGCACATGAGAAAACGGGCATGGTTGGACATATGTACATCCGGGCTGATGCGACTGTGATACCGCAGTGACCATGGGTGATTGCAAACAACCGTTTCCTTGCAAAGTTGGTGCATACACGCTCTGGTAAGCAGGTCGTGTAGATTTCTCTGCCAAGTGATGAAGCATGTAGGTTTCTCTGCCAAGTGATGAAGCATGTCCTCTCCAGCTTTTTCGTACTAGTTCCCAGGACAACACCAGCAACTGGGCTGATGCGACTGTGATACCGCAGTGACCATGGGTGATTGCAAACAACCGTTTCCTTGCAAAGTCGGTGCATACACGCTCTGGTAAGCAGGTCATGTGGATTTCTCCGCCAAGTGATGAAGCATGTCCTCTCCAGTTTCCCTTGATTTTTCATCCAGTGTAAAAGTGTGGTAAGCTTTTTCGTACTACACCAGCAAACGGCTTAACTTACCTTAGCTGCCACAGGAAGTGGTGGTGGCTACAAGCATGGATGGCTTCAAAAGGGAATTAGATAAGCATATGGAGCAGAGGTCCATCAGTGGCTATTAGCCACAAGGTATAGATAGGGGTTCTGGGGCAAGTGATGCTCTGTCTTCTTGGTGCTTGGGGGGGGGGGTCAACAGTGGGAGGGCTTCTAGTGTCCTGGCCCCACTGGTGGACCTCCTGATGGCACCTGGCATTTTTGTTAAACAAGTATAAAGCCAACAGTCGTGATAGTCTGACCCACAATCAGTCATAAGATCTATAAACAATGCTGTTTATGTATTTCAATCTAAAGCACTACAACATAATACACAACTCAAAAGAAAATCTTTGAACCAAGGTACATAATCAACGTCGTCTGCGGATTACTTAACGACGTTTCAAAAAAAATGGTGACGCCCGGGATCCAGACGAAACATAGCAGCATATTTTGAGCCTGAATGTTAATTGAGATCAGCGTCCTATCTGAATTTTATATTCTTAAGACTTGTTGTCTAACATTTATGAAACTGAGAGCTTTGGCACCATTATAATATCTCCTGAAGAAGATCCATTTTTTTGAAACGTTAAGTAATCCGGAGACGACGTTGATTATGTACCTTGGTTCAAAGATTTTCTTTTGAGTTGTGTATTATGTTGTAGTGCTTTAGATTGAAATACATAAACAGCATTCTTTATAGGTCTTATGACTGTTTGATTGTGGGTCAGACTATCACGACTGTTGGCTTTATACCTGGTATTTCTGGCCACTGTGTGATACAGAGTGTTGGACTGGGTGGGCCTTTGGCCTGATCCAACATTGGCGTCTCTTATGTTCTTACCTAGGAGATGTATGCACACTCTGTTACATACGCAAGTGCCATGAAGTCTCAACTTACTTATGGTGACCCATGCAAGGGGCATTCGAGGCAAGAAAGAAGCAGAGGTGGTTGGCCTTCTGGCCTTCTATGGGCTAGAGTCCACTTCTTCAGATGCAATGGGGTGGCGCCTCACTGACAGGCCTTTTATGTAGGACCAGCTGATGTTTGTACCTGGGCAGGTGTCTCCCTTCTAGCCTAAGGTTGCCACCTCTGGACTGGGAAATCCTTAGAGATTTGGGGGTGGAGCCTTGAGGAGGGGAGGGGTTGGAGAGAGGAGAGACCTCAGCAGAGTATAAGGGCATAGAAATGCTCCCCCCCCTCCAAAGCAGCCATTTTCTCCAGGAGAACTGTCATCTGGAGGTCAGATGCAATTCCAGGAGGTCTCCAGGCCCCATCTGGAGGTTGGCAGCCCCACTCTGGGCATCCAACAGTATTATTATTATTATTATATACCTTTCGAAGAGGACGTAGGGTTGCCAGGTCTGGGTTGGGAAATTCCTGGAGATTTGGGGGGTGGAGCCAGGAGAGGGCGGGTTTTGGGGAGGGGAGGGGCCTCGGCATGGTCCAATGCCACAGAGTCTGCCCTTCAGAGCAGCCATTTTCTCCAGGGGAGCTGATCTCTGTCAGCTGGAGGTCAGGTGTGAAAGCGGGAGATTTCCAGGCCCCACCTGGAGGATGGCAACTCTAAGAGGACATGTTTATAAATGCAAAGTCATGGCCATCTGGTTTGGATGAGACATCTGATCTCTTTCTATGTGATCCTTTTTTTAACCTCGCACAGAAAAATCAGTAGTGCGCGGTGGTGTGAACCCAGCTAAAACCACGTGAGCGAGAAGAATGAGGAAATCGGGACCATTCAGTCCACGTGGTTTATTCTTTCTCCTGCCGGATTCTTTCTCTCCTGCTCGCAGCAGCCGTCATGGTCCCTTGAGCTGCCACCCCGATCATGCATCCTCTCGAGGGGACAGAGACTCCCACGAACTTGCAGGGGACTTTCCAGTGGAAATTTCTGACTGGTGATAATATGCTCCCCCACCACCACCCCGGGCTACAAAACCCATTCACAGTTTGCGTTTAATGAGGAAAGGATGCGACATTTCATTTCAGGGTGGGGATGCCGGACTGTTCGGCTACAAACCAGAAAGGAAATTTGAATTTCCTTTCGAGAAAATAAACCAAACAAACAATGTGGGCCTGAAATCCCAAATGGAGGCATAGGGGGAGACTCTGCGAGACTGTCAATGACAGAGACCTCCTCCGAGCTTACACAGCTTTCTCTCCCTACTTGATAGTTTCAGTAAAATAAAAAGCTTTAAAAAACAAACAAACCGGTTTCCCCCTGGAATTCTTGATATTTGTCTGCTTTCTTCACAGACACAGTTTGTGGCAGGGGAGAAAAACTTCTTGGAAGAAACCGTGACAAAGATTTAATAACTCACATATGAGATAACGCCTTGTGGGAAGATAAACTGACCGAGAGATCTCGAATGTTGCACAAGAGTGCCTGTACCGTATATATTTTGCCAGCAAAGCCTGAACAGAGTGAATGATACAAAAGCCATTGAAGGAGAGAAGGAGCGGGTTTGCTCCCTCTAAGCTGGGGAGTCTTGTGAGCAAAAATTCTACTTTGTGAGAACATAAGAGGAGCCAATGTTGGATCAGGCCAATGGCCCATCTAGTCCAACACTCTGTCACACAGTGGCCAAAAATACCAGGGGCCATCAGGACGTCCAGCAGCGGGGCCAGGACACTAGGAGCCCTCCCACTGTTGCCCCCACCCCCCGAAGCACCAAGAATACAGACCATCACTGGCCCCAGCCTGAGAGTCCCTATCTATACTTTGTGGCTAATAGCCATTGACGGACCTCTGCTCCATATGCTTATCTAATTCCCTCTTGAAGCCGTCCATGCTTGTAGCCGCCGCCACCTCCTGTGGCAGTGAATTCCATGTGTTAATCACTCTTTGGGTGAAGAAGTACTTCCTTTTATCTGTTCTAACCCGACTGCTCAGCAATTTCATTGAGTGCCCTCGAGTCCTTGTATTGTGAGAAAGGGAGAAAAGTACTTCTTTCTCCACCTGCTCTATCCCATGCATAATTTTATAAACCTCGATCATGTCACCCCTCAAGCGTCATTTCTCCAAGCTAAAGAACTCCAAGCGTTTTAAACTTTCTTCATAGGGAAAGTGTTCCAACCCTTTTATCATTCTAGTGAGTGAGCGATTTGGCTCCTGCATAAATTAGTCTGCTCTGGAGCCATCCTTCCTGAGCTAAGAAAAAAACGTGAGCCGGAAGCTTAAAAACTGCAAGCTGGCTCACACGAACTCAACTTAGAGGGAACACTGGTGAGCATTTAACCCTGTCCTCACCGCTCACCTCCATACACCCAAATCATCCCTTGGGGTGTTTTCCTCTTGGGATGACTGCAAAGTCCAACCTGAGGAATAATATGTAAGAGCTATTGATGCTCATACCAGGGCAGGTTTCTTCCCTCTGGCTTAGGGTTGTTGCCTTCATCATGGGAATTTCATGGGGTGTTTTAGGATGCTGGAGTTGGGGGATCGGTAGTTGGGGGAGTTCAGCAAGGTTTTGACGCCACACAGCCTGCTTTCAAAACTGCCATGTCCACAGGGGTCATTTCGTAGAAAAAGAGGTGCAGGAGCTCATTAGCATAACTCATTAGCATAACTTGTTTGCATATGCCACACCCCCTGACATCACCGGAAGTGTGCCAGAAGGCAACACCCACCGCTCAGGCTCCACTGGACTGTTTTGGATTGGTAGCTATTGGTGGTGGGGGGGGGGACGTGCAGATTTGTCCTCGCAGAGGAGGGAGAGCTTGTACCTGAATAAAACTTGGTCTTAAAGGTGCCACTGGACTGCTTTGGACCGGGGGGAGCTCTGCAACTTACCTGGCTGCTTCTTGCTCTGACTGAGGGCTGCTGGGAGCAGGGGGTGGGGCTTGTTGCATGTGCCCGCCCCCTGAGCTCCTTACTGCCGGAGCTCCGCTCCTGTGCGCTCCTGCTGGAAATGACCCCTGCATGTCCACCAAGGGACCTGATCTCTGTAGTCTGGAGATTAGTTGGAGGTTGGAAAACCCTACTCCGACCACCCACAATTATGGCTATTAGGATTTTGAAGTGCTTGGGTTTATCAATACAAAGTTGTCACGGTCTGGACTGCTTTTGTTTTGTTGCATTTTTTAGAGAGAAAAGCTCTGCACCTTGCAAGCTAGCTGCATACGTTGGGCAAAAAGCAACAGGTCGAGAGAGGATGGCTGTCCCCATCAGAGCACACCAAATCCAGGAAGCGTCAGAATTTGTTCCTGTTAAAGAATTTGCAGGTGTTAAAGACGTGGCTCACAAATCAGAAGCCGGATACTTCAGAGGGAGGGAAATGTTGTGTCTGGCTGTGTTAGATATTTGGAACACCCAGTAGGAAAATAAAATAATATCCATTCTCCCCTTCCACCTTTGAAGCAGCTTTTTAAACGAATTGTACGGGAAGATTTGATCTCGGTCCACGGGGTCAAAGGTTGGGGTAGAAACCCCTTTAACTCCATGACTCGAAGATGTACACTCC